CAGAGGCACATAGAGTGGCTTAACAAAGGATGGAAAAACACTTCACTGGCACCTATGCTCGCACTTTTAGGAGCCCCCATGTGTGGGAGAAGTGCATTGGGAAAAGCTAGAGGAATACTTACATCATCTCTATTTCCCTAAGCTGGACCTGTATATTTAATGATTCCGCTGCATAACGTGAACATTCAAGTGTGCTGAAGAGCAATGACACCTTTTAGCCATGTGGTGGAATTCATCTACCCTTTAGCTAGAACTGTCAGGATTAAGAAGCGCATGAAGATGGAAATTGGAAGCTGCATGACGAGTCTCATAAGGACTTGGGAGTAAGATTCAATGCACACAATTCTCCTGCCTTGTTTTTCGGCAGGGTGTGCTTGTACAATGTTTCCTTTCCTGGTATGAAGCCCCAGGAAGATCTGGATAGGCAAAGCTCTTCTTACCTTTCAGTCCCTCACCCTGAATGCAGGAAAGAGGAAGACCCTACTAAAGCAATTTAAAATCTTAAATGCTTTCCTCTGAACCTCCCCCCCAATCAATCAATGGCTCCTCGTCTTGGATAATTGCTTCATTTCTTAGGGCTGCAATGACTTTGTGGGTCAGTGAAGTTTGCTACCCACGTGTAATGAAGTACGACACACCTCGTGCATGTCCTGAGAAAAGTGGATGGCTAAAAACTAATTATTCTCCATCTCTTTACGTTCTCAAAAAATTTGGAAAGTTCACCTTGTTGCAAACAGAGAGATGGGAAACCCTAGAGGATGCTTCAGGCAAGTTGAAATGGCCTGGGGTTAGGTTGAATATTTTAACTGCATGTCTCGGTCTATATCACTTAATATATTGTGACTGTGCTACAGAGGAAAGCCTGGTTTACACCTGGAAGGGGCTTTGGGCAGGGCTGGGATGGTCTGCCAAAGCTGTTACTAGAAACATTTAAGGAGAATTTGGAGAAAGCAACCCTTTATGTACTTATGAGAGCTTCCTACAGAAGAGTGCCTCTTGGCATGTGCAGAGTGCCTTGTCGTCAATACTGAGAGAAGACAACCAGCCTCCCCCACACCTCTGCTTTTGTAAGGGGCCAGCATAGGCGCAGAGGTGGTACCTTCTCAATAAATCCACCCATCATCTTTTAAGTAACAAGCCACCCATAGCAGGGTCTGTGTGTCTTCTCTCCCGGTGGAGGAATTTCCGCAGCTCGCTCCAGAGACTGCCTGGGGAAGCCGGGCGAGGAAGGGCTGGCCACGCGGTGACCACTCCTCCGGGGCGCGGGAGTGGGGGAGAAGGCGAAGGGCGCGCGGGGGCTCCCCGGGCTCTCGACGGCGCCCCCCCCACCGCCCCTCCCCCGCCCGCAAACGAAAGTGATCCAAAAAGGCTGCGAATTCCTTCGCAAACGCGGCGCGCCATTTCAACGGGAAGCGCCTAGCGAGCCACCAAGCCCACCCCCCCATTTTACCTACCTCCGGCTGGCTGAGGCGCAGGGTGGCGGCGGCGGCCGGCCGGGGGGAGGAGGAGAGAGCCTCTGGCGATGTAGTTGAGCCGAGTGGTAGCCCAACGAAGAGTGACGGGGTGTGTGTGTGTGTAGGGGGGGGAGAGAGTGCATGTGCTACGGCATGCTGCAGGCGCCCCTCGCTCGCCTCCCTTGCCTCCTTCTTTCCCTCCCACCGTCTCCTGGCTGCCGCGGCTCTCTCCAGTCTCGCCTGACGCAGCCCGGTCGAAAACAGCGCCGAGAGACCCCCCCGCCGCCGCCGCCGCCGGTGGAGCGAGCGCTACCGAGGGGGGCACCCTTAAAAAGATG